AAAGAAAGAAAAAGAAAAAAAGAAAGAAAACACTGAAGGTAACAACTCCAGGAGACATATTTTTCCTTATACTACATTGGTGGTCACTGGTGGTGACCATAAAATTAATATGAAAATTCTGCCTGACTCTGTTTCCTAAGCCCTGGCATTAAAGGCATGGTAACACACATTACACTGTTATATTTATATCTTTATGTTGTGTGCAAAACACACACATACTCACCCCAGATGAGGATCCCTCAACAGAACAACGTACGGGTACCAGCAAAGGCCAGCTTGGTGAACCAGTGAGTTTTGTTGGGGTTATTTACAGGAATATGGGTGAAGGCTTCCTTACAGGAGCAGAAATGACTCAAAGTCAGCTGCATCAGCAGAGCCCACCAGGCACAGGTGACAGCTCACAAGAGCTGGGAACCTGGAGCACACTGCACAGCCTGCAGGCAGCTCAGCAGGTTGGAGAGTGTCCTTTCCAGGTGCCTCAGTTGGTCTAAACCTCCTCCAGGCAGCTGGAGAGGTTTCTGCTTCTTTCAGGCAGCTGGGCTGGTCTCAGTTTGAGAAAAACTCTTGGGTTTGTCTTCTTTTCTCTGTCAGGGAGGGGCTAGAGAGTCTGCTTGGTTTCAGGCACTTCCTGGGGATACTTTGAGTTGTTACCTTCCTGCTTGATATTGCTCATAGATAAAATTTTCATGGGCTAAAACATTCAGATAATTTGGGCATTAGATGTAGCTCAACTACCTTGTGAGCATGTATTTACATCCACAGCCAAATGCCTCGGTCAGAGAAGCCTCTCTTTGTGGCGAACAGAGATGTTTGGCTGCTCAAGGTGCTGAGGATAACTGACAGCTGCATGCTCACCAGGAGAGGTAGACTGTGCCCTCTAAGGCTCAGTGAACATTACAGGACAGAGGCAAAAGAACACAAGTAGACAACAGGAAGGGCTATAAAGTGCCATCTTCTGGGCACAACACAGCCGTTGCCACCATGAACTCACAGCAGCTATGGTCACCTTTACTGAGCCTGCCCAAGACTGGCCGTGGTCATAGTCAGTCTTGAATGGGGGTGGGGTGCCTACCTGCTGAACCATTGGCTACTGATGGATTCTGGGAGATCAGGAGTCATCGTCTTTAGTTATGTGCACACTGTGAAGCCCGCCAGCCTCTAACAGAGAGCTCCAAATCCATCGTCACACAGACAGCCTTGGTTAAAGCCAGTGGTTCTCAAAGCAAAACATGGCATGAACATGGGAAATGGATCTGTAGGGAAGAGGAGCCTTAGCAGGGGCAGGAGGAAGATGAGGGTGCAGTGAGACTAATCGAAAAGCATTAGAGACATTTATGAAATCCTCAAAGAACAAGTTTAATTTTTAAAAAAAAATTAAAAGGAAGAAAAAGGTGTCAATAAAAGGTTGAAGGATATTTGAAACACAGGCAAACTAACTCTCTAGTTTTATTCCCTGTATCAATTTTACAAATCATCTGCCGAGTCCTCTCTCCAGTCCCAGCCTTAAACTCTTGATCCTTCTGCCCCAGACTCCAAAGTGCTAGGATTGCAGATGTGCATGGCCACACTCAGTTTTATGTGGTGCTGGGAGTCAACCCCAGGACTTGATGAATGCCAGGCAAGCTCAAGTTACAGCTTCTGCCCACATTTTCTGATTTTCAACTGCTAAAATGATTAAATGTGGACAGTGGCTATGGCTCAGTGGTAGAGAGCTCTGCCTTGCACGCATGAGGCCCGGGGTTCAACCTCCAGGGCTACAAGCATTCCCCACAGGCAGAGAGCAAATGCTGCACCCCCCCCACTCCCCTCCCCCAACTCAGAACCAAATTCTTGGCCATCTCCCCCACCCTGCTTCACTACATCTCCTTGGTTTCCTCTTTCTAAAATGATCTCAGAGCTGTATGGGGTGGCTCACTCCTGTAAACCTTGCTAGCTCTTGAGAGCAGGGGCGACTGTGTTGAGTCCAGATGAGCATCACCTCCAGACACAGACTGTCTCAAACAAAACAAAAAAATTATCTCAAGAATGAATCAGCAATTACAACCACTCAACTCAAATTCTAGCAGCTCACCAACAAAGGCTTTGCTTTGGAGGTGTTACTGTACTGGCAAGTTACCCCAGCGCCTCTGCACTAGGATTGTAAACTTCTCTGGATAAAATCTGCAGGAGTGTTTCTCCTTCTCCCTTCCCATCCCTCACCCATTTCACATGGCATCTCTCACCTTCAAAATGGTTCACTGTTTATGTCCTGTGTTGGGGTGTGTGGGTGCCACAGCTTCAGTGTGGGAGTCAGAAGACAACTGTCAGGAGCTGTCTCCTTCTACATAGGTTCTAGAGATCAGCTTAGCCCATAAGGCTTGGCACAAAGTGCTGTCACCTGCTGGATCTCACAGACCCTTCTAAAATCTTAATTTGTATAGTTTAATAAAGGTTTGGATACAACCTTATAGTATGTTGAAAACAACATTGGAGTACATTTTATATATCAAGTTCCAGGCCAGCTTGAGCTACACACTGAGGTCTTATAGCAGAAAAAGTGTAAAGGGTTGAAATATTTATATTTATGAATTTATATTCTCATATTTTGAACTATTTAAAATATAAGATGCATTTTCCTATATTTCTCCATAAAGGGAAATCTCTCTCCTCCTCCTCCTCCTCCTCCTCCTCCTCCTTCTCCTCCTTCTTCTCTCTCTCTCTCTCTCTCTCTCTCTCTCACACACACACACACACACACACACACACAATCTGTAAAGATAGATAGCCATACTGCATTATATATTACTGAGTAAAAATCATGTTTGCTTTGACTCCATGAGACAGGGGAGACCATTCCTGAAATAGAAGTAGTCCCATCAAGGCCATTTACTGAGTCCAATCATTTATACTAATTTTGTTTTATCCATCACAACTATTCCAATGACAGCTTCCTAAAAACAAGAGGGAGCTTGTTCAACCCCTTGCTTACAAGTCAGACTAATAATGGCCCGGGGGATGAGCTAATGTGGACGTCAGAGCCCTGATGATTTCAAGGCCACAGGTGCTAAGGAGGGGAAAGGTGAAGCACAAGAGTGTGTATCTTGCTTAGAAACATCCTAAGAAGACTATTCTCAAACTGTTGAGCTGACCAGACTAAACACTTGCACTAGCAAGCCATAAGTATCCTTGGATATGTGTGTTCTTTTTAACATACCAAACTCATGCTTTCTTTTTGTAGAAAGGATGAACATCTTTAATAAGTAGCTTTCCTGGATTTGTTATACTGTAAAATGATTTTAGCTATACAAGGACTAGTAAATCAAACATTTCTTAAAGATTTTAACAAAGTTGTGTGTGTTTTGTCTGCATGTATGTTGATGCACCACTTGAGTGCCCGGTTCCCAGAGACCAGAAGAGGGTGTTCCCAGAACTGGAGTTACAGATGGCTGTGAGTCGCCATGTGAATGCTGGGAACTGAGCAAGGTCCCCTTGCAAAGAGCATCAAGTGCTCTTAACCTCAGAGCCCTCTTTCTAGCCCCTAAAAGGAACATTTTTAAAATCAAAAGTACTCTCATAATTTAAATCAGAAAAATTTAACACTTTACTTACTATTAATTCAACATTTCACAAACAGAAATTGGGCACTTGTTGCGCTCTGAAGCATTATGTCTCCTCTAAACTTATATAGCTTTGTGATTTATTCTACCATTGATCACACCCCAGCCCCAAGAGCTAGCTATGTACATTACTTTACTACTGGAATAATTGTCTACTAAAAAACATTTGCCTAAAAGATTGCTCATGTTTATAAACTGTTTGCCTTGGAGAAACGTTTACTCAGTAAGACTGTAATAACTGTTGGTTCAAGGCAGATGTGTGAGCAGTGCATGCCTGTCATCCCGGCACTCTGTGAGGCAGGAAGAAAGACTGCCATAAACTTTACACCAGCCTGAGCCTCACAGGAGCACCACATCAGTCAGGGCTAAACAGCAAGAGCCTACCTCAAAACAGACAAAATAAAGTCATAACAATGGTTACATGCTGTGGGTTTAAAATGTGAACTACAACACCATTACCCCAAGACTTGAGCTCTTTACATTTGTAAGAGAATTTCCATGATGTTCATTCATAGAGACACTGATTACCTCAACTCTCTGGCATTTTTTAATTTTCCATTTGCAACTAATGTATGTAGCTATTTTCAACAACTGCACTCTCAAGTATGGACCCCAGAGAATGTAGTCAGTTCTGCCTACACAAAAATTTGCTCACAGATGTTCATAGAATCATTCATTATTCATACAAGCCACCAAGTAGATATAACCCAAATGCCTAAAACACCAATGGAGAGGTAAACAAATGGTATTCCACCCAAGTACATGATCTGCCACAAAAGGGGACGCAGTGACTGATAGAGGCCAGAGTGGACCTTGAAAACAATGCTGTGCTAGGCGAATGAAGTCACATGAAAGAGCCATATGTTGATTGATTCTGCTTATATGGCATACTTAGGACAGAAAAATCCATCACGGAAAGCAGATTAGTGTTTCAGGACTGAGAGGGGAGAACAGGGAGGGTCACCAGCTTTTCATGGGAATCAGACAGTGGTGATGACTGCATGATTGCATGAATATACTAAATCCATTCACCGTACACCAGAGTCAGGGCACAGTGCCATGGCAGAGGCACTTCGTGCAGGAGGCTCTGCATGCGGTCACCAGCACCAACAAAACTGGGAGGACGGTTAGCATGAATTTTATCTTATGAGAACTCCATTTCAATAACACCACAAGGGGTCAAGATATATACTTCTTATGTTTACACCAAATTTCTAAATCACTTTACATTCTACTAAAAAGATTACAGGGCCCAGTATACCATATTTGTTTATGTATGAATATGTAATATTCTGAAAGTTGTTTTACAAAAAAAACCTCTATCTCATAACATCACTTTTGATAAACATAAAACAGAAGACAGAATAATTTTTAAATGTAAATATATTTAAAAAATTAAAACACCTAAGAAACACAATCTATATACATGAAAAAAGTAAGATATTTATATGCATAATAACTAGTAGCAACATGACCCATGAGGAGCAGCAGCGTCTATTCTGTCCATATTCTGTTTAATACCACAGTGGTAGCTCACTGTTCTTAGGAAAATTACGTAAGGTACATATAGCAGAGACTGTAAATAGAAAATTAATGCCAAGTAACAGTGTTTTCTCTATAAACAAATGTTATTAAACAAATCATCATAATCTAATTAACAACAAAATGAGCTTACTGTATTCAGTTCAAGATATTTAGTCAAACTTGCATAAAAGTACAGGTGGCCATTTAAAAACGGTCTGTTGCTAACCTATCAGTAACTCAGGCTATTGGGATTTCCACAGGAGATGAACTGTCATTCATTTTCTTTTTATGAAAAGGGCTGCTTTAAGAACACTACAACCATGCTCTTAAGAAATGCAACGGCATACTTGAGAAGTTACAATGGCAAAGCATATGCATCAGTACATTCTTCACTGGTACCAGCCCCAAAGAGCATTTCTGAAGGTGACCTAGATGGCATTTCCACGTACTTTGACTTTTATTCTCCTCCACATATTACATGTCCAGGTAAGGATTGTAATTTCTACTAAGGGAGTCTATCACATTGGTCATTTAAAGACACACACAATAAAGTACTTGGATGATCTAGTACTTTACTAGAAGTATATCTACTGACCACAAAACCAGCTTTCACTTATAAATGAAATACTAAGTTTCTGATTTGAGAGAAATGAAATACAATACAGTGAGTGAGGTTTTTTTCTTCATCTCTGCTATAAAAATCCACTTTGCCTATTTGACCCGTCTCTATCCATGCAATTTAATGAATCCTCAGAAGAGTTTACACATCTTTATACAGAAGTCACATCTGTCCACTGCCATTCCTTTTATATTTTCAGTGTCTTATCAAAATACGGGTAGCAAGGTTCTTCCTATTCTATGAGGCAGGGAGATGCTTCCTAAGGATCTCTTTGGATGATGAAGATATGGAATCTGGGAAGGACACATCAAACTCTATTAGCAGGTCACCACGTTGTTCAGGGTTTTTTGGAAACGGCAGCCCATATCCAATAATTCTTCTCCTCATCCCAGGCTTCACAATATCACTGATTGACATAGGTATGTTTCTTCCATCCATTGTTGGCACATTAATTGAGCAGCCACACAATGCCTAAAGTGGACCAAATAAAACAAAGTTAATAAACTCCCAAACTGAACAATATAAGATCTTGCTGGGTGGTAAAGAATAATACCATGAAGGTGATATTTTAACGTCCAAAAGGATTACAATAGTTTTAAAATCTTTTTCCTGTTCCAGAAAATCTGTTCAAGAGAAGCATAATCAGATGTTACTAGAGAGAGAAGAGAGAGGAAGGAAAAGAAAGAAAAGAGAAGCCAAGGATGTCTTTCAGAGCGCCTTAGGAAGTAAACAGTTTGCGGCTGTCAACACTCAAAGTGCAGGAATTTGAAGGGAGAAAAGGAAGAGCTCAGAACTGAACTGAACAAAAGGAGGAGCAAGACCTCCTTCTCTAGAAGACCTGGGAGTGTCTACTAGATGCCACATAGTTCTTGGTGAACCACTGAGGGATCATGAACCAAGACTTCCCCTCCAGAAATGCACAAGGAACTCCGAAACGTACACATGAATTAGTGACTTCAACAGAGCAGAGCATGAACAGAAAGGTATGGCAGAGGTCTCTCTGACAGACAGGGCACATGGATCATCCCCTCATTGACTGGAACTACCAAGTACCTACACTAAACTAAACAAGGTCTGCTCCAGTGAAGGCTGCGAGATCACAGAGGGTAGCTCTGACACACAGAGAACTATACAAAGTAATAACAGCAAATTCAGGAAAAGGAAAATTTGGGGGTGGGAGCCAGATTTCTACCTTTTAAGCCAGTTTGAAATATATGGTAGGGATATATTGAGCTATTTAAGGTTTTTTTTTTCCCCGAGACAGGGTTTCTCTGTGTAGCTTTGCATCTTTCCTGGAACTCACTTGGTAGCCCAGGCTGGCCTCGAACTCACAGAGATCCACCTGGCTCTGCCTCTCAAGTGCTGGGATTAAAGGCGTGTACCACCACCGCCCGATATTTAAGAATTTAAACAGGGACATGACCTCACATCATGGGTTACAACTGAATTTGCGAAGTAGTACAAATAAGGACTTGAGGGCTATAGTAAAGTGGTGGTATTATACACCATGTATACACTTGTTATATTTTAATACTTGTTATATAAATCTTACTCCAAACTAATCATATCAAAACTATATAAACAATTGGTTCTCAACCTGTGGGTCACAACCCCTTATGGGGGGGGGGGGCTGAAGGACCTTTCACAGGGATCTCCTGAGACCACTAAAAAAACACAGAGATTTACATTAAGATTCATAACAGTATCAAAGTTAGTTATAATGTAGCAACAAAAATAATTTTATGGTTGGGAATCACAACAACAAGAGGAACTGTATTAAAAGGTTGCAGCAACCTATTACAAAGGTTGAAAACCAGTGGTATAAACGGATTTAAGAGATGGGATTTCCAATGCAGATCTCACAGAGCACAACCGAAAACCAGAGCAGAGCTAATCCAACATGGCCGTGGAGTGGCTAATCAAGCCTGCACTTCAAACTGACAGTTAAGTTTAGAAACAATGATGTCATCCATAAGAGATGCAATAGTAGCACTTCCAGAGACCTGTTATGAGAAAGAGAACACTGGAGCAGAGCGCTGGGGAAAAGCAGGCTCCTGCTCAGACAGTTCCCTACCAGTAACCCACAGCACACACCTCTACTTACCTCCCGCAAGCTGATTTTAGCGGTATAGACTATATTTGATCCATCTCTTTTGAATTTGGGATGCTCTTTGTCTTTAATAATAAAAACAATGTCTGCTGGGATGCTATTTGGTGTTTCGTCCCCTTCCCTCGGGAAAGTAATTTTGGTGCCTTCTTTCCACCCTTTTTTAATCTCAATGGTGAGAATTTTGTCCTCAGATCTGTAACTCCTTCCATCAGGGTTTAATCTTTTCCGAGAAATCTTCATCCGTTTGGTGCAGCCACTATAGATTTCTTCAAGCGACACTCTAAGTTCATGAATAACAGGAGGGTCTTGTTTGAGACGGGAGGGTCCCACAGAATTCCTGTCTCTTGGATAACCATTCATGCTGAATCCAAAGGCACTGAAGGGATCTCCATCTATTTCCATTTCTTCAGAATCTCGACCTCCACCCATCCGTCTTCCAAAGAAAATTTCAAAGGGATTGGAACCCCCAAAAAAGGCTGCAAACGTGGCATGAGGGTCACCGTGGAAGGTGTACCTGAAGGTGCCTCCCTGTCCATCAGTGCCTCCTGCTCCTCCTTTCAACCCTGGTGAAGAGATAACATGATCAGAAAAAGGGCTGTAACTCTAGACAGTTGACCATTTGCTAGCTGTACCGCCAATAACCTTTGACTATCCCTTACGGTCAGAAACATTATAATTAAACAGCATGGTTACACAGCTTCTGAAGAGCTACCCTAAGTTAAAGGTTTAGCTTGCAAATCACTCCTCCAAATTCTTAGCTTTAATAATTTCTTCTTGAATCTGTTTCATAATAAATATGAAAAATAAAAGGAAACTGAGATTCTTTACCTCAAAAACTACTATTCCAGAATACTGTATTTAAACTGAAGAGTTTTAAAGACACCTATTGAAAGCAACTGAATAGTTAAACAAAGAATCTAGATCCTTAGGTGCCACTATAACTAATTAATGTGATCAATAGTAAGTAATATATCCATACTAAGTAGCTTTATTCTTTCTTTTGCTGTCTTCTAAAGACTTTCATTACTTTTAACTCTGTGTAGGCATGTGTGTCTGCACACGAGTGTAGGTGCCCATGAAGGCCAGAGGCATCAAATCCCCTGCAGCTAGAGTCACAGCTGGTTGTGAGCCTCCTGAAATGGGTGCTGGGAAATGAGCTCAGATCCTTGGACAGCACAGCAAGGTTCTTCTTAACTGCTCGGCCATCTTTCTAGCCCCCACCAGGTCTTTTACTGTTCAAGAACTAAACAGAACTATTTCTTAGCAGCAAGGGAAAAAGTTCTAATAAAGAGGGCAGTATGGAAAATGTTTCTGTGGACACTAGATTATTATCATCTTCGATAGTGAGACTTCTTAGGTCTACCTTTTCACATCCTGATTCAAAGCATTAAAACCAGACCTGAAATCGAGAGCCTCGGGTCTTTTTAGCATGTAACCCGGACCAGTTATTTCTGTCTGACAGCAGAACTGTGACCTTTTCCCCAAAGGTTCAACAGGACAACATGTGGCTGACAAAGATTATATATATTTGACATAGCATGTTCTACCACATCCCAAAGGAAGATCCAACTAAAATCCACAAAACAGTATCATGATGTTTTAGGAGGCCAATCTTGGCAAAGATTTCTATCATTATAAGGAAGCTTCTGGAGGCGCCTTAGAGGAATTCCTGACCAAAAAGTAAGGTGGGAAATGAAGATTACAGAACTGGGAAAAACTAGTTTAAACTGGAAGATTCTTATATCCAAAATTGAGTAATTTGAGGGCAGGGAAAGTATGTTACTAATTTTTGCATTGCTCATGCATATGGGGTTAATTAAAAATGACAGGCACTCCAGTCTACTGAATGAAGAAAATCAACTAACTCTTAAAGTCCTCCTAAGCTGAAACTAAAGAAGGTGTTTTAAGGGTCAGCCTAAAGACAAAGCAAAAGAAAAACAACACAGCAACATGAGACTTAATCACTGTAAACTCCAAGGAGACTCCACTTCCATATCTTGCTATATAGTTGGTTCCTATTATTAAAGGACGGACACGGGGACGGGGACACACACACACACACACACACACACACACACACACACACACACACACACACGCACGGTTAGGGGTGGAGGGGATGGATATGCACGGTAAATCCAAACAGTAGGTGGGTTTCCTTGCAGAAGGGGAGAGCGACAAAGCTGGGGAGGGGGAGCATGGTCAACAGGCAGCTCCTTCGGTTCTTCCTGACAACTTTCGTTAGTGCAACTGTAACTCCAAACGTGGAATAGTTAATGACAGACTTTCTCAGGTGACAGAGGAAGTCTAGAACTCAAAGTGAAATAGTTAATGACAGACTTTCTCAGATGACAGAGGAAGTCTAGAACTCAAAGTCATGACGAGGTAACTAAACGAGTACTTAAGTTACTTCAATAATTGTATCCTTCTTCCCACGGATTTCATAAAATAGAAGAATCTACCAGTTGGGTAAATGAGCTTGCCTACCCTTAGCTCTCGAAAAGGCAAAAATCTAAATGCTTTGGGCACAGAACAGAACAGAAAGAATAACATTTTCAGGATTACATCATAGGTTTGGCTTTTCCCTAAAACCTCTTCCTTTGCTCCCAAAAATGGTAATTCAGCCAGTATTATAGTCTGTGAGAAAATTTACACACAGCTCAAGTGACTTACTCATCAGAGCCGACAAAAATTCAGCCTTGAGATTTTCCTAGACATAGAACGGTCAGCTATGTAGGTCAGATAAAGAATGAAGCTACTTTAATAATGAGAAAATCCTACCAAAATGCCGCTGTAATATGACATGAACTTCTTCCTGTCTAACAAGCACATCATTTGCTAGATAGTCAGCCTTAATCCTGTACACTGCAACTCCCAATAAAAACAACCAACATCCAGCTGGATTCTCTCTGCTTTGAAATGTTTTCTAGACACCGTCTAGTCAGGGGATGGACTCTAATTCCACTTCTGCCTGAGCTTTAAATCAACTAGCCAATTTAACATGCAAAGCAAACACATTTTGGGGACACTATTCACAGCAATGACGTCTATTCATTATCTGACAAAAAAATTATGAAAAGAAACACAAGAGAAGAATTAGATTTGCAAGGAAAAATGATAAGACTTGCTAATTCTTACTTTAAGGAAATGGAGGGTGTAAATGTTTTGATTTGTAGCAAGGGTTCAGAGTTGTAGAAAAAGAACCTTCAACAGTTCAACTCACAAGAAGCTGAGTAGCGTATGTCTTTAGAACACAGAAAACAAAGAGGTGCGGCTGACTAACTGCATTAAAGAGAACAGCAAACCACATGAATGTTAATATACCAAATACTTAAGTCTGAAGACATAAAACTGCTTTTAGCATCCAAAAAAAAATTAGTGAGTAAGCAGTAATCAACAGGCAAAGTAAATAAAGGAGAAAAAAATGTTAGAAAACCAGAACCTTCTAAGGTGTGTTTTGAGGGAGATTTTTATTTATTTATTTTCCATTTTAAAGTTGCATTTACTGGTGGTCAGTCGGTCTGTCTGATGCCATGGTAAGCATGTAGAGGCCAGAGGACGACTTTCAAAAGTCAGTTCCCTCTTTCCACCACAGGGGTCCCAGGGACTGAACTCAGGTCACAAGCACCTTTACCCACTGAGCCATCTCTGTGGCCCAATAGAAAAAAAAGAGTTGTTTAATACAAACTTCTCTTCACGTCCACTTAGCCAAGCCTAAAACTTCAGGGCAGAGAATATGTCAGAATCCAGTCTTAAATTTCTGTAGCTGCATGGTTATTTTCAAATGTTTCAGTTGTGGAGAAAACTGATCTATTATTTCACATGTGATTACACTACAAAGCTGACTTCTAGGCAGTTCAACTGGAATGACTTACAAAGGTTTACAGTTTGTCACCACCCTCGTCCATCTGCGGAACATGCCACCGATCTGAAGTCCTCTGCTCCTCACAATGTGCCTATCTCTCCCTCCAGCCCCAGGAAAGCTGGCTCCGCTATCTATCTCTCCAAAGCTGTCTTGTCCAGACATCTCACAGAAACTGCATTACATAATTCTGCCTTTAGATCTGGGTTTCCACCCAGCGTATTTTCCAGGTTCATCCAGTTGTGACATAGTCCATTAAATGGGTATTTTTAACTGCTGAAAGGTGCCCACTGGGACATACACTTTCGTTTCCCCACTTCGTAAAGCATGTCACTCTGGCCTGTCTTGACGCAAGGCCCTCACTGGTGCTGCCTCAACAGTCAGGCACATGTCTCTGCATGAGCAAATGTTTTGTTTTGTTTTTCCGTTTATAGATTCCTAGGAATAGAACTACTAGATAACATAGTAACTTTAAAACATGGCTATTTAATTCATTAAAAAAAAAAACCAAAAGCATTCTAAATTTCAAGTGTTAAAAGAATTTCACAGCATGAACAAACAAGATTAATAGTTCTCTTAATTCCCACATACAGACATTCAGCATTATCTCACAGTTCTTACTTCTGCTCCCCTAGCCCCAGGAGGAACAATGGGACAGGGAGGGCGCTCTATCTAGTGCCTTAGTAGTTCCACCATCTCAGAGTTCAGTGTTTTCTTACTACTGGAGAGGCCTGTGCACCCAGGACTGTAAGCACAGACAATGAGAAAAGTGAGAGAAAAAAGAGCCTTCCTCATATTCTCCCACAGTGTACCTACCGGAGATTTCTGGGGGAAGGTGCTGAGGATCGAGAGCAGGGCTCCCACACTTCACAAATGCTATGACTCTGAGCTACACTCCCGCCCCTAGAGGGTTTTAAACAACTGTGTGCTGTTCTACCAAAAGGTAAATAAACGAACCACTTTTCTGTGAAGGAAGAATTCTAAAAGCTTAGTAATGTTCCTTCTCCTGTATTTTCAAATAGCTTATAAATGCACAGTGCCTCTGAATAATGGCCTGCAATGCTGTAAGAAAAGAATCCTGCCTCACGCTCCTTCTCTTGCTCACAGCACTTATCTGGGCTAAGAACACCAAGAATAAAAAATAAAAAATAAAGATTCAGGGCACACAGACAATCATGATTTAGTTTTTGGAAAGTTTAAGTCATTGGTAATGATTATTAAAAAAAACTATCAAAGTAATGTGACGGGGGAATTAGTCAAGAAAACACCGTCAAAAGGACTTAAAGAATTAAGTGTACCATCTGGTGACTTGAAAACTCTATCAAGTCAAACACGTTTAACAAACCTGACTCCTATGGCTTAGTCACAACAGAGATGCACCTGGGCCGTCCATAAGATGGAAGGAACCAAATCACCTGCCTTTACTGAAGCAGCTTTTACGGCAATTTAGGGAACCTCCCACTTCTCAGGTGAGGCCAGAGTCTGGCAATGTCTGAAGATGCTGCTGGCTCCTGAGACAGCCCCAGCATGGCATCAGTGCGACCACGGGGAGCAGAGAGGGGGCTGTCCACTACTTGCTGTTTTCAGTTACTCCATTTGTAAGAACCTGGCCGGCAATGCAGGTCCACCCCACCACTACCAAAGGTGGCAGCACAAGAAAATAAAGACAAGAACCTCCACACGACTGCACTGAACTGCAGTTTAGTTTGCTGACTGCAAAGCGAGTGGGCACTTCGAATAGGGAATCTGATGTTTAAATGCTATAAACAGAGGGGAAACAAAACTGTTTCCATAGCCACAGTGACTCGAAGACATTTGGGGAAAGTGATGAAAGAGTACGTTAGTCCCAATTTTTAGATTTGAAAACCCCAAACTCACATGAAGTGAAGCACTGCTGTCGCTGCTAATCAACAATGTACAAGTCCTACCGTACGTCCACATTTCATGGAGATGCTGGACAAACCTGGGTTAAGGTCCATAACATAAAGGAGACTCTCAAAGGTCTCCCCTTTACTGAGCTCACTAAGTTCTGGTCTCAGGAGGTTAAGGAAAAAAGTATGGCCGAGGAAAAAGGGAGGCTGTCACCTCTTCACGTATATAGTAAAATTTCTGAAGGGAATAGTTAACTAAAAGAAAATCAGTCATTGTTCTAACTAGGTGGCCATTTTAGGTTAAAAAAAATTCCCAGATTTTTCTCCTGGCACACAATCGCTATTTACAATTAAGCTGAGAAACTTGCTCTGGTATTTCATGACATCAGGAAAACTCGCTCTTCTCTAGGCAGATTGCCAAAAACAACTAGAAGCTGAACGCCTATGCCTTCTGCGGCTAAGACACACGACTGACTCCGTCTTGTTCAGTCTCAATTAGCGTTGCTCTAAAAAGGCAAAAAACTTCTTGTTTTTCTGAATAAAATATAAATGACCCAGAATTTGAACTGCCAGTCTTAAGATTTTAAATGATTGAAGATTCTATTAATTTTGGTCAAAAAAATCCATTAAAAAAAAAAAACAGGTTGCATAAGACTTTTAAACAATTCATTCCTTGGCACAGGAATTTAATGTTTCTTTTAAAATATAAGATGCTAAAACTGTAAGTATAACAGTAGAATATGTATAATACAGTATTATTTTTTAAAAACCCAAAAGACAAACATGAACATTTCATTCGTAGCTCACTCAAATGATCAAGAATTAGCCCTTGTTTTTATCTGTTATTTTTCTTTTTATTTTAGGTTTGTCTGACAATCTAATGTAATGATAATCAGAAGACTGAGAGAGAAAAAAAAGGAAAGATTCAGAGCCAAAGGAACAGAAATGTGCAGCTTACCTTCTTCCCCAAACTGATCATATATCTCTCTCTTTTTAGGATCACTCAATACTTCATAAGCTTCTGCGACCTCTTTAAATTTTTCCTCTGCTTGAGGGGATTTGTTCTTGTCCGGATGAAATTTGAGGGCTTGTTTTCGGTAAGCCTTTTTAATATCTTCATCTGTAGCTCCTTTTTCAATTCCCAAAATGCAATAATAGTCTTTCCCCATTTCGAATGCCTTGAAATGAACTTAGCTTTCCCTTTGTAAAAGAAAAGAGTGTCCCCAGTCTTAGCAAGACAATGATTCTGGGAAAATCAAGCAAGCTGGCTATCGTAGAAGTTAAAGCAATCAGCGAGCCGGCTCAGCTGTCTGGAGGCAGCAGGCAGCGTCTCTATTTAATTCCTTCCCCAGCAGCTCACTTACGGATAAATAGACACCACAGAGCCGGCCTCCCTCTAGACCCTCCCATTTCACTACGTGTCTCCGTACTTTCTAGAACAGCAAATGCTACAGGACGTCACTTTCCCAGCGGCCTCTAGGCAAAGGACTGAGCTGCGTCCCTCCTCCTCCATGATTAACTCTTCCCTTTCCTCTGGCTCTACCACTTTATTTCCTGTGGATTTAGCAAAGCAGTATTTCAGTTTTGTCATAACTACAAACGTATTTATCCATTAGAGGTAAAAAGGCAACAGAAATAATTATAGCCATTAGGTAACCCATCTTAAAGTAATTATACAGATAGAAAAGGCTTGAGCTTACTGTAGGTATTCCAATTTCAATTTCAAGCTACCTAGTTGTCAAATATGCAGAACTAAAATATGAGGTGTTTAAATTTAAAGTCTTCAAATAATTTGGGTCATTTTCAAAATTCCAAGGTCTACAATCTGAAAGGTGAGGAGGTCACTATATGAAGTTTCACATGGTACAAAGGCTACAATAATACAATAAAATTGAAAAGCAGTATTTTAACATAAATGACTTGAGAGTGATTTTTAACTAGTTTTTGGTAATATTTAAAAATTTATTATCTGTAAAAGCTCACTACCTGTGTTCATTACCAGGAGTGAACCAGAAGATTCCATTCGGAGGGTCTGTTTTCCTACTCTGGGAAGGTTGGGAAAGGATCAGATTTCAGCGTGCTCAGTTCAGAGCCAAACACCTGGATCAACTTAAAATCTGGATATGTACGTTCAAGGGGCAGCAAGGTAACTACTACTTTAAAACACATTTTCCCTCATTTTAAATATGTACTTACAAAGATTTTTGAAAACATGGGGGGAAATTCTCCCTCTTTTTGTATTCCCTGTTACTATTAGTATATTTTCTTTTAATTCTTTTAAAAAATATTTGTTGCTATTTGCTGTAATTTTTTTAATTAATAAAGTTTAAATCACCTTTACATTTATATGCCATGTGATGCTTTCTCCTACAATGTATCTTGAATAAATATGAGAGTATTTTGAATGTATGTAACTCATCTTTTCTCTCTTATATGGATTGTCAATCTGTTCTCAGCTGTTCCTGTTTCCAGGTGAGTCCTGACACTCAAGGCCTTGGATACAGTTACGAGGCAAGTTTTCCACCACTGAGCTGTGCTCCAGCCACCACTTCTGATAGGATATTGAAAGACAGATTACTAAGACGATGTCCAAAGAAATGCACTCACTTCACACTGCATTTAAAACCCCTGGGTGTCTGGAAACTTGAGGGGGTGTTCAGGTAGAAGAAAGAGAAAATGGACACACACGCTAAGAACATACTGAGAACCTGATGGGACAGAACTGCCCCCCCTCTGCCTGCCAACACTTGGATGACTCGGCACTTGGGAAGGCTTCCTTTTGCTCATGGCCATGACTTCCTAGCTCTCAAGGTCCCTCCCACAGCACCTTGCTGCGGGAATCTCCCACACTTGGCTTCCTACAGACAGAGGTTAGTGAACTGGCTCATTTTTTTAGTCTATCAACAAACATCAATACCAAAAGACTTTTTTCAAATCCAAAGAATCTGGGAGAAGTCAGTATCAAAAGTCACTTGCTTCTAGAAGTGTGTAGCTATGTGAGAGAATACAAAAAGAAGAAAAACAACAATTGGAATTGACATACTTTTCCCCTTCAAATGAAAGGTTAACATATTTTTGTCCATGTATTAAATAAGGGCTTGCACTTAAGATTTTTATTTTACTATTAACTAGTAAGATGCCACGAAGCTATAATTCTCTTTTTATTAAAAGTAGTGAGGCCAGATGTCCCACACCAGTAATTTCCATACTCAGAGCATGAATTGATTTTCCAAGTCTATCAAAAAGCTTAAATGTGATTATTTTATCAAGGTTAACAGCAACCAAGTTTTTGTGCACAACAGCATGTTAAAGGGAAATGTCACTTTGTCTCTTATCAAGCTTCCTTGATTGGGATATTATGTTTTAGTAACTATCGAAAAAGTATTTGTACACAGAAGATAGCAAACCCCCAAAACATAGAAGTATAACCATCAGCCCACTGACCCCATCTTCTTCTTCTAATTTGGTATTTCTACAAAACAGAAACAAGCCTCAGCTGTTGTGATGGTTCATGCCAAAATCCTAGCACTCGAGAGACAGAGGCAGCTGAAGGTCAGCCTAGGTACGTACACAATGAGCTGGAGGCCAACCTGAGCTACAGAAGAAAACACTTTTTTTTTCTAAGTCACAAATCAGTCTCAGTTTGTGGTAGATTACAGAGACTAGCAGGACTGGGCTGACTTCTAGGATTACTCAGAAGAAATTAATTTCAAATTAGGTCACTAAGAAGGCAGAAGGAGGAGGGTAGCAAGTTTGAGGCCAACCTGGGCTACAGAGAGAAACCCTATCTCAATAAATTATTAATTCAGATAATCTCAAATACTTTAGAACAAATTCTAGTATTTTACTGATGCACCTGTTAAAAACTTTTTTCTATCAGTATTTAATTTTTGACCAGGTCATGTTCAGTTCTGATGTTAATTCAGAATTTTTTTTTTTTTTTTTTTTTTTTTTTGGTTTTTCGAGACAGGATTTCTCTGTGTAGCTTTGCACCTCTCCTGGAACTCATTTGGTAGCCCAGGATGGATTAAAGGCATGCGCAACCACTGCCCCTGATGTTTCTCATAATGAATTTGTATCAGAAAATCATGACCTCCAGTCCCCCACACTTCCTACTCAAGATTAAGCAATTTTGGGCTATTTTATACTGTGTTCCTAGTGCTTCTGATAGCTGAATACCTAACCTCAAATCTAAGTGTGTCCAATAGTCATTGAATCTGCTGAGGTAGCCAGGTATGGCTGTGTACTGTAATTTCACAACTTGGCAGGCTAAGGGCAGAACAATTACTATTGAGCATTAGAATAGCCTGGGATATAGAATGAGTTGCAAGCCATCCTGGGCTACATGGCAAAACTAAACTTAAGGGAAAAAAAAAGGAAAGGAAAGAAGAATGGTGTAGGTCTCAGTGAGTGGTAAAATACTTGTCTCCCATTCATGAAAAAACCCTGGGGTTAAACCCCAGGGGAGGGAAGGAAGGAAGGAAGGAAGGAAGGAAGGAAGGAAGGAAGGAAGGAAGGAAGGAAGGAAGGAAGGAAGGAAATACAAGGTGGCACTAAGGACTATCTACAATGGTTTAAAATAGTTGTTTAAAGCACGGATTCTGGAGTCAAGACTTTCTGGATTCAAATTCTGATAATCCCACTTACCAGCTGTGTGGCCTGGGATCTAAACTCTGTGTCTTGGTTTCCTTATCTGTCAATTGGGGTTAATATCAATATTAACTTTGTAGAGCTACCATAAGGATTAAATATGATGTGCAGTGTATTTAAATATCGACACTGTGAAGATTAAAGGTGTTAGCTACTTTTATGATTTTATTATATGAAGACCAACAACTTTCTTTCAGAAAACAATCATGCCATGTGTAACACTTTTACTTATAAAATTACACACACATAAATGCAAACAAGGTTATGTTTCGCTCTTTCCAAATATTCCTGTTAAAATATGCTTACACACCTTGAATTTGTTAAAAATAAAACCATGCTGGTGATGGTGATGGTGCACGCCTTTGATCCCAACACTCCAAGGAATGAGGCAGGCAGATTTCTAAGTTTGAGGTGAGCCTGATCTACATAGCTAAATTCTAAGCTAGCCAAGGCTACAGTAGTGAGACCCTGTCTAAAAAGTCAAAATCATTAAACACTTCACACAGGTAGTATTTGTCATACTTTAAATCTGATTTATTGATTTATAAGGAGGGGTTTCATTGTGTTACCCAGTCTGGTCTCAGGGTCCTAGAGTCAGTCAGATGCAGTACACACCTGTACTCCCAGCACTTGGCAGAGGGAGGCAGGACAATCAGGAGTTCAAGGCCAGTCTTGGGTTACACAGCACGTTTGAAACCAGTGTAGGCTACATGAAACCCTGCCTCAAAACAACAACAAAAGCCCACAAATCAAACTCCTTTCTCCTCAACCTCCTGACGAGGTGAGGTGATGGAAATACATATTCTCAAAATTCTGGAGACAGGATCTTCCCAGCCTTGATTTCTGTCTATACTCCACACAGCTCAGTCATGATGGATCCCTTCACAGCTGTCCTTCCTGGTTAGAAGACAAGCAGAAAGAAGCTACAGATAAAGCTTCTTTATCTGATGTGGTGGTGCAGACTTTAATCCCAGGCCCAGGAGGCAGAGGCAGAGGCAGAGGGATCTCTGTGAGCTGGAGGCCAGCCTGGTCTACAGAGCAAGTTCCAGGGCATCCAGGGACCCCCCCCCAAACCCCCAAACTCCCCAAAATAAAAACACTCTTGAAAACACTGAAATTTATGACATATACATTAAAACTTTACACTATTTTAAGCTGTACAAACTACTCTGCGACAGTAGAAGTCTGCCTTTACTCTGGACTGTAGTTTGCAAAAACATTAAGCTACCGAAACAAAGAACTGCCAGACTGACCCTCAAAGGAGTCAGACATTCCCCATGCTATCATGCAGCAAGCCAAGGATCCTTTTCAGACTTTTATATCTGAATTCCATTCTCTTACACAGAGGAGCTCTTCTGAGCCTTTCTGCTAACAGCAATTATATAATGGCAGTTTAGAATAAAAACGCTTTCGCATGCTCTCTGCTGTCTATGCTCTGTGTGCACATGTCTGGTACTTAAACAAGAGAGAAATTTTCATGAAGCTTTTCTATAACTATAGTCTAACAACAAGCTAAGACATTCTTTCAAAAGTTTTTGTTTTGTTTTTAAGACAGTTTCCCTCCATAATGTAAGTGGGCTCTGAACTCAATGATCCTGCTGCCTCAGCCTCCTGAAGGTTGGAATTTCAGGCAGGAGCCATGATGCCCAGCTGCTATGATAACAATCCTTAAATAGACATTGCTTCAATATTAGCATAAAAAAGAACATTGGGCTGTGTTTTCTGCTATTTCACTCATTTCGGGGGGGTATCTAAAGTCTTCTATAAAATCAAAACTACTAGCCATCTAATAATGACTATATTTTACGTGTACATTTTATACTTTCCTTAAAAGCCTATAAACACTAGAGAACTGTTAAGTTTGAAACTCAGACTCCAAATTTTCAACATTATGGAAAGGTTTC